AGGGGTGACATGATCGAGGTTTATAAGATTATGCATGGGAAAGAGCAAGTAGAGAAAGAGGTACTTTTCTCCCTTTCTCACAATACAAGAACTCGTGGGCACTCCATGAAACTGCAGAGCGGTCGGGTTAGAACGGATAAAAGGAAGTACTTTTTCACCCAAAGAGTGATTAACACATGGAATTCACTGCCACAGGAAGTGGTGGCGGCTACAAGCATGGACGACTTCAAAAGGGAATTAGATAAAGCAGAGGTCCATCAGTGGCTATTAGCCACAAGGTATAGATAGGGACTCTGGGGCAAGTGATGCTCTCTCATCTTGGTGCTTGGGGGGGGGGGTCAACATTGGGAGGGCTTCTAATGTCCTGGCCCCACTGCTGGACCTCCTGATGGCACTGGTATTTCTGGCCACTCTGAGACACAGAGTGTTGGACTGGATGGGCCTTTGGCCTGACCCAACATTGGCGTCTCTTATGTTCTTATGTTCTTATTAAGACGGGGAAAGAGAGGAGAGGGGCTCCCTGCGGGAGGATCCTGACTCCCAACCTGGCCTGCCCATCCCGACTGACCTTGAGTTTATGTCTCCACCACCTGCCATTACATTTTATGGCACACATAGCCCGGTCCGACAAAGTGATTTCATAGGAAATCGGGCCCTCATGACAAATACAGAACTAAGAGTGTGACACTCAAATCGGTGGGCCAACCTGCCTCCTCCTCCTCCTCTAATACAATCCATAATTCCTATGTCCGTTTATCGCACTCAAAAGACTTCTCCCCAGTGTGGGTTCTTTGATGTCCGTGAAGAGTCTTTCTGTGACTGAATCTCTTCCCACACTCTGAGCATTCAAAAGGCTTCTCCCCTGTGTGTGTTCTTAGATGATTCAGAAGAGTGCCACTGTGACTGAATCTCTTTCCACACTCTAAGCATTCAAAAGGCCTCTCCCCTGTGTGGGATCTTGCATGATTCTGAAGATGAGTTTTCTGTCTAAATCTCTTCCCACAGTCTGAGCATTCAAATGGCTTCTCCCCTGTGTGGGTTCTTTGATGTTTTTGAAGACTGCCACTGTAACTGAATGTCTTCCCACAG